GTCCCGACCTAAAATGTCTATCCAGGCCGGTGGACTTGGCTGAGCGGCCCAAATAAAATTGTCAAACTATAGTACATTCATTCCAAACTTTAACTAATGAAGCAAAATAGTAAAAAAAAAAAATGATTATTATTATTTGATTAACTTGATAATTGGGATGGTCCAAATTTGCATTTAGATATGTAAAAGTTTCTTATTTCTGTTTTGCCAAGTAAAATTCATGAAAATTTTTTAGTCCTCCTCACTAGAGATAGGGGAAAGGGGATATATATATTTATAGCCTCTTCTCAGTTGACAAATAGTGCAAACTCAGAACAACAAAGAATTTTCAAGTCGATCATTAATTGTATTCCTTTTAGAACTCATTAGTAGATTGTAACTTATATAACTTAAACGTTTGAAGTTCACTAGTTACAACGTAAATTATAAAGTTATCATGTTCCCGCTTCATTAAAGTTCTCTAGGTAAGATAGATAGTTAGGTAGTAAAAAAAAAAAAAAAAAAATACAGCAAAAGAAAGAAAATAAGGAAAAGGTTTGCTTAATAGATAGTTATTTATGCTGTTTCTCTTGTTACCTAACTTATTTTAGGCTTGCTCTATAGTCTAAATAGTAATAGATTAAGTGATTAACCGCTCTTATCAATTTTGTGCAACAATTTTGGCTTTCAGAGTAGAGTAGCTATGCGGCTATGCCCACCTATAAGAATCTATGCAGAGCCAACGTGTGGCTAGTGTTCTTCCTTGTTTGGAGTTAAGATTTAAGGGTTGTTTATTTCATGGATTTAAATTCATGATTTTAATTGAGTATTTTTCTCTTATAAAAAATTTAAATTTTAAAAATTAAAATCAAGAATCACTGTATATTAAGCTTAATTAAATGATCGTTCGTTGGAGAACAGCATAAAGCTTAAATACTACAACCCGCTTTAAATTTGTGTATAGAAATTGACATGCGATATCTTCATATGTAGACAATGGAAACAAATGTTTGTTAATGTGGATAAAAGCGAAAGCCAAAACTGATATATGTATCAAATTGAGATATCTTTTTCTTGATTTTCTTGGTTAATTAATTTAATGACCATTTAAAAGAATCTGAATTTTTTTTTTCTTTCTTTTGAGGAAGGTTCTGAAGTTTGTACATCTTGGCAGAGTAGTAGTCAATGAATTTTAAAATCCCTAAACTTGAGGAACATCTCTGTTTGGTGGAGGGATTCGTTCCATGATTCGAATCATGATTCATGGTTCGTTACAGTATTTTCTCTCACAAAAAATTCACGTAAATCGAAAATGATTCGAATCACATGGTTTGAATCCTCCAACCAAACGTATGACGCTTCACGAAAGGACTCCCAACGCCAACTCCAAGCCGCGAAACATGATAAGAGTCGCGCCTTTCGCCTTCACTATATCTATATCGTGAACCATGCATGCTTGGGCTCAAGCCCCGCACACGCACATCATGTTGAGGAGAATGCGTCATACTGGGGTTACTCTTTTGCATTTTTGAGCTAAAGTAACTCGAGTAATAATTTTGAGTTGAGTTTAAGTTATAATTTGAGTTGAAATTATAACTTAAATTTGTGTTTGGATGTGCACATTTGAGTTATGATTTGAATTGAAAATCTATTTGAATTTGTGTTTAGGTGAGTCAAAACTTAAATTTATATTTAGATAATATTTTAATAAAAACTCAATCTTAATGAAAAATTTTAATAAAGTATATGGGTGAAGTTTTATTCGTCTTTTCGTTGTGAATGCATAGAAAAAAAAAATCATCTCAATCAGAATTAAATCGAAAAAGTTATAACATTTTTAAGAATAGAAAAAATAATGTTCATTAACTTGAGTTTGAGTTAATGAACTCGAGTTAAAAAAGAAACTTAAACTCGAGTTTAGCCTCAAACTTGAGTTCAAACTCAAATTTTACAAAAGAACATGAACTTAAATAAAGTTGTAACTCGAGTTCAAACTTTTTCTAAGTTTCATTGCAAAAGAACAACCCCATAGATTCTCATGCCTCCAAGCCATAAAGCTTGCTCGGCATTGAGTCACGAGCTCAAGACAATGTCCGCATGTAGAGTGCCATGACCAACGTCAATGAGCCAGTTGCACACGCTATAAAGGTAGCAATTCGTGTCACGTATCGTGTTTATGTCGTGTTTTAATCATTTTTTTTAATTTACAGTCAATCTGAACACGACCCGTGATATAAATTTTTTTAAGAACTGCAACACGAACACGATACGACCACTGTACAAGTTGACACGACACAGTACGAAAATGATCCGTGACACGAAATAGACCCGTGAACCCAAAATTGATACGAAAATTATGTATTTTTATTTAGTTTTTTAAAGATTAGAATTAACTTAAAATCCACAAGGCTTCTCTAGTATCTTTGTGTTTGAAGTCGAATCACCCACCATCATGTTGAGAAGAATGCGTCATATAGGGGTTGCTCTTTTGCATTTTTGAGCTAGGGTGTTTTAATGGTTTTTTTTCTAATTTGCAGTCAATCTGAACACGACCCGTGACATAAATTTTTTAAAAAATCGTAACATAAACACGATACGACCACTGTACAAGTTGACACGATATAGCACGAAAATGATCTGTGACACGAAATAGACTCGTGAACCCAAAATTGATACGAAAATTATGTACTTTTATTTAGTTTTTTAAATATTAGAATTAACTTAAAATCCATAACAAGCTAAAATACAATAACATCCATCAAAATTAAGCAAATAATAGTATAAAATTTTGAGTATAACTATTATGATATCACAAATTCATAATAAAATCTAAAATATGTAATAAAATATATATATATTTTAGTTTTTACGAATTTCGTGTCGTGTTAGGGTTAGGTGGGTCCAACCTGAAAGTGACTCGTGTTATTTCTGTCAATTTCAAACCTACCTAATTCTGACCTGAATTTTTTTTTCCATCTTAATTTGTGAAATTCGTATCGTTTTCGAATCGTATTATCGTGTTGTGACTCATATTATCAATCCTAACATTTTGAACTGTACACCTAAGGTGGTGTCCCACCAACCCAACATTGCTTAAGTTTGCTCGTACCACGAGGCGTCCAATTGGCTATAGTGACTGTTTGCGGTAAAAAAATGGATCATAAATGGGCATTAAAAAAAATGAGAAGAGAAAATAAAATTTTGTGCTGACCTAACTTTAGGTTGGCAAAAAAAAATAATAATGAAAAATAAAAAAGAGAAAAAAAGGAGATTAAAAAAATACACGTTTTAAAATGTGGAGAGAAGATGCAAAACGTGATGTGTGCAAAACGTGGAGTAGTGATTAAAAAAAAAGATGATGGTGCAGAACGTGCTATGTGTAAAACGTGGGATAGTGATAAAAAAACTGTTGTGAAATTCTTTTATATAAAGGAAGAATCAGGAGGAAAAGTTTTTTTCCTGAAAAACGAGGGGCTGGAGACTTTGTGCAGGTGTGTGCAGTGAAGAGGGGGGAGAAAGCGGCACTCTTCATTTCGTTAATTCGAGTTTAGAATTTGAGTTTTGTTACAGTAAAAAATTCTCACAAATAATCACATCTAACTTTTTTGTTACAGTAAAAAACTCTCACATAAAGTCACATCTCAATTCAAATTAAAAACTCGAATCAGCGAACTAAACGGACCCGAAAGAAGAGTAAAAACCGTGTGTGCAGAAGAAAAGTGAAAGAAAGAATATATATATATATAGAAGGGTGTTGTGGGGAACGTGAGAAGGAAACCAAAAAATGTGTGTGTGTGCAGGAAACGTGAAAGAAAGAGAAAAAAAACAAAACAAAAACAAAACAAAAGGTGCGATATGATACATTTAAATCAAGTCTTATATATATTTTAAAGTGTGAGATTATAATTTACTCCTTAACACTCTCAACGAAGATAAATCTTATATACACCTTATAGCATGAGATTTCTAATACCCCTTAATAAATTCTTAATGCACTCATTGTGTGTGGTTTCTCGTTCTTATCACGATCATATAATTATTACTAAGACTTAGAATATCTTTGAATTCAAATCCAAATAGAATTTTAAAGTAAAATTCCAAATCAAATTTTAAAATATCTTTGAATTCCTCCTATAGTCATATATCGGGAAATTTTCCAAAATCCAAATTCAAATTCAAGAACTACGATTGACTTGATTTCCTATGAGATACGTAGGCAACCTAAAAATTTAGGTGCAGTTTCAAGATCAAATTCGATCCTGAATTCATTCTATGGTCATATATTGAGGAATTCTTCAAAATCCAAATTCAAATTCAAGAACTACGATTGACTTGATTCCCTATGGGATACGTAGGCAACCTAGAATTTAGGGGCAGTTTCAAGATCAAATTCAATTATGAAAATCCTCATAAAGGACAAAGTCAAAACAAAATTAAATCAAATTTCAAAGTGCGTAAATTCCTCATAAGGTCATACACCGAGGAATTATCTAAAATTTTCAAACCCAACATTCGAACGACAAGTGGCTTGATCCCCTAATGGGGTATGTAGGCAACTCGGCTAAATTCATCGAGTTTAGCCGCAGTTTTAAATCAACCCAAATTTTCCAAATTCACAGAAAATAGAATTTATTGTTTTAACTGGAATCAAAAAGTTTTTTCTTGTACCAAGGGATTGTAATTAAGAGGTTATTCTTATAATCTTGAATGGATCAAACTAAAAATAATAAACTCCTATATTAATTAAATCATAATATAAGTGAAATTATATTGTGTGCGAAATATTATTTCAACATTAATAAATATTTTCATTCAACATTGACCCAATGGTCACAACAAGCCTTCCATTGACTTAATTCGTTCAAAGCTTTAACGAGGGATATGACATTAATTTATCCGTACAAGTTAGAGAAGAAAAGTAAAAATATAAGGATAGAGAAATGAACCCAAATTAGTACTCTTAATGCCTATAAATACTAGCTGGAATTTTTATGCCCCTTCACCACCTTGAGAATCATTTGCATTAACCATGCTCTCCGTTATCGTCTTAATTCTCTCCTTCTCTTTTCCCTCAAATATTCTTCCCCTACCAATATCAAGTTTTCGAAGACTTGATTTACCACTAACTTCTGTTGGTCCTGAAGCCATAACCTTTGACCGTTTTGGAGGAGGACCTTATACAGGCATTTCTGATGGCAGAGTTGTCAAACATAATGGATCTACCTTCATAGAAATATTCATTACTTCACCAAATAGGTAGTAATTGAGATCTTTTTTCGTATCAATCCTCAAATCTTAGGCCTCAAAAGAAAATATCAAGCAATTTTGCATCTTTTTATTTTTATTTTTTTTATTTTTAATTTCTACGTGATACAATAACCATTTATATTTGTTCAAATCAATGACGTTCGATCAGTTATCTTAAAGTACAATTAAAAAAAATTGTGGTAAAGTGGGTTGGGGTTTGAGTTTGGAAAGCCACATATAATCCCGTATAGAGTGTATATATATATATATATATATAATTGTCTCCAAGTATTGGATTAGAGCTGTATATTTCTTTTAAAAATATATATATATTTTTTTAAAATATGTATAATTCCTCGTAAAACATGTATAATATGGAGACATTTATAATTTATCTAAACAAGTATATACATATTTTTAAAAGAAATATACATGTGTTACTCCAGTCCGATACCGAATTGGAGACTTTACTTGTATGCATATTTTGCGGGTTTCTCTTAAAATATGTATATTATAAACAGTGTTGAAATTGTTGCATGGAATACTATGATTTCAGGACCAGTTTAGAGTGTGACGGAACCAATAATCCAGCAACACTAGGGGTTACTTGTGGTAGACCATTTGGTGTCGGCTTTTATTTCCGAGAAAATCAGTTGTTCATCGCAGATGCTTATCGAGGACTACTTGTTGGAGTTCTGGGGAAAAAGCTTGCAGTTCCAATTGCCACTGGCGCAGAAGGGGTACCCTTCAAATTTCCCAATGCCTTGGATGTTGACCAACTAACCGGAGACGTTTATTTCACAGATGCAAGCGCTAGATTCTCTCTAAGGTAATTCCTAATGTACTTACCTCATGATAATTAATCCTAGAAATGGTAAGACTAACTGTTGCCAACTATTATTGACCACGTACGATACCAATTTTGTAAATTTCCGTCATACATAGATAAATTGAAAATTATTACTACCTCGTTCATTTCACCGATTTAAGTTTTCAGTTCTAGGTTTCTATAGTTAAAAGCTCTCAGAAAATGTCACATTTAACTTTTTATGCTACAGTGAAAAGTTTTAAAAAAATATCACATCTCAACTTAAATTGAAAACTCGAATCCACAAAGCGAACATAGCCATATATGTACATAATAAATCACTACAATTGCACAATATATTTGATGTGAAAAGCGGCCATGTTTATTTAGGGTTTGATTTAAATTCTCAACAAGGACTGATTCTATACATATAACAATAAAAACTGATCAGAATATATAGTATAATATTTATTGAGCACTCTTATTCAACCCCGTAGGGTTTGCTACCCAACTAGACACAAACTAGTGAGGCGCTCTCACAAGTCAAAAAAAAAAAAAAAAAAATTTGAAAGGGAAAAAAATACTTTTTTTTTTCTTCAATTCAAATTGTTCAGTTTCCCTATTTAATTGCTAAAACATTTCTCTCTCTAACGTGCCATAACAATCTGATCCTAACATGCAAATGAAATTATTTCATCGTGTCATGCAAGCTGCGGATTCTTGGAACCGCAGAATTTTCAGGATTCAATCAAATGTTAGGATTCAATCAAATGTTATGATGTTTGAGTTTTCTAATCATTATATGCATACCTCTTGAAGCCAAATTCAAGAAGCCGTTGCCACAAATGATAGTACAGGAAGGTTACTAAAATACGATCGGAGAACGCAACAAGTGACCGTGCTGCTAAAGAATCTCTCCGGCGCCGCAGGTGTTGCGATCAATGCAAATCGAACATTTGTTCTTGTCTCGGAGTTCATAGCCAATAGAATCACAAAATTTTGGCTGCGCGGTCCAAATGCTTTTAAGTCACAAGTTGTCGCGACCTTTCAAGGAATGCCGGATAACATTAAGAGGACGCCGTCGGGAGATTTCTGGGTGGCGGTAAACGTGCCAGGGCCAGGAGGAGTTATGTTGCCCACAGCAATAAGGATCAACGGAAATGGAAATATTTTGAAAACTCTGCATCTTGAGAAGTACTACAAAAATACGCCTATTAGTGAGTTCCAACAACGTGGCTTTGGAACATACTATATTGGATCCCGCGTGGGGAACTTTGTTGGTGTCATAAACTAAACAATTTTTACATGTATGGCACATATATATTTGGCTCTTTGGTATGTATGCTGGGAACCAAAGAAGTTAAAAAACCCTATGGCAATCTAGTAACGCTGTGTGTACTGGCTGCAGCCATGAAATAAAATGAAGGTTATTTTTTTTTATTTATTTTTTTCTGAACAAATTTTCAGTAATGCATGTTTTGGTGAATATACATGAGGATCAGTTGGCGGAATTATGATATCCACAATATATGGTTAAATCCCGTCGGGGAATTTTCAAAAGATGATGATAAACCTTTTATGTGATGTCGTTAAATAACCATCTTAAGCAAAAAAAAAAAAAGAAAAAAAGAAAAAAAATTAAGTCGTCATTTGAAGTACAATGCTATTTACTCCTTTGACTGTCTCTCCTATACAATTTGCCACATCAAATAACTTACTTGTAAGGTTAAAAGCTTATTAACTTGGGAATTTTCTGTTTCTAAACTTGAATTTTGAAACTTTTAATTTAAGTGAATCGAAAGAACCACCGAAGACATCTTCCTTCGTTTTCTTATTGTTTTTGTCTCGTCGTTTGTTCCGACCCTCTAAAATACCCGCGCTACCTCCACAGGCAAGATTTTGGGAAATCCAGCAGTGTGTTGTTCCAAAGAAATTTCCACCAACATCTGATTCTTCTTGGGCTCGAATCCCCCATCTAAGTATAGCACACTTTATTTTCTTTCAATTTTGAGATTCATACATGATTTGGTTTTGAAAATGACAGTCTTTACGTTACAAATATCGTTTTTTAAAGGGTTAATTTGATAACACTAGATCTTTAGCTATTGAACCTCAATTATTATTGATTTAAAAATTTAGAGTGGAATTTTTGTGAAAATTTAACATTTGAGGTGTATTATGTGAAATCAAAAAAGTTTAAGATTTAATAGTGCAATTTACTTATAAAGAATGGATGAAAGTAAGTAACTTTTTTGGGTTTAATGAAATACTAGCATGAGATTAGCGTACGTTATTATTATTATTATTATTATTTTGTAAAAGCTGAATTGTGAGATTTTCATGCTTTTATTTTCATATAAAAAAAATTCAACTTCAACAAAAGCAGCGTTTCTTGGAGCAAAAAAAAAAAAAAGAGACCGTTTTTATATGGATTAATTTCAAAAATTCCATCTGAATTATGATATTTGTAACGCTTTGCCTCTTAAATTTTAAAAAAGTAACATTCGTTCCTTAGAATTTTATTCTGCTAACAAGTTTTTCTATTCTATTATAATAAGTGACGCAATTGTCACGTGTCACTTAGTTGTGATAATTAAAAGCGCAATTACTTATATACGCTCTTAACCAGATAATTTCTCATTTTATTGAAAAATTCATCATATATTATTTGACCATCATCTACACTTTCTCTTTCCCTCTCTACCACTTTTTCTAGAGTTCCTTTCTTCTTCACCTCCCTTCTACCTCTTCTCTCTTGCATAAACTCTCTCTCTCTCTCTCTCTCTCTCTTCAATATTGCATATCACTCCTTCACTTTCACTTTTAATGGCGGCTTTCACTTCTTCTTCGTCTTCATCTTCTTCTGGTTATGCAGAGAATTCGGTGGCGATCATATGTTTATCTTCGTCTTCATCACAATCAACCCCTCCTTCTGACGACAACTTCGAAAAAGACTCTTACAGTATCTATATGGAGCCTTTCAACTCCGATGATTCCGTCTTAGATTCATTGTTCTTCATTTTTTGCCTGATCTTTATGTTGTTCAAGATTTGAGTTTTCTTTTTTTAACGCTTGGAAGGGTTGTTGCAGGTTAATTTACGATAATACCTTCATAAGATGAGTCTCCTACATGACACGTGACGAATTCCGTCACTTATTGTAAGAGAAAAAAAACTTAGTAACGGAATAATATTCGAGAGCAACGAATGTTACTTTTTAAAATTTAAAAGCGAAAATGTTAAAAAAAATTATAGTTTGCAAGGACTTTTTAAAATTTAAAAGCGAAAATGTTAAAAAAAATTATAGTTTGCAAGGACTTTTTAAAATTTAAAAGCGAAAATGTTAAAAAAAATTATAGTTTGCAAGGACTTTTTAAAATTTAAAAGCGAAAATGTTAAAAAAAATTATAGTTTGCAAGGAATTTTTAAAATTAATCCTTTTTATATATTTGTCCAAGGATATAATATAATAATAAGTGTAATTTTCCCATGTTTATCACCTTCCTTTTTGCAAGCAAGCAAGCAAAGCAAAGGACTCGGACTCGTTTCAACTTTCAACTTTCAACTTTCAACCTTTACTTTACTATTCGTCTGTCCCATTACTTGACGTCTCTGTCGTCCAAGCGACAGCAGCAGCCAGCCAGGATGGCGCCACACTTGCCATCTCTCTTCTCTCTCTCTCGCACTTACCTCTCAACCTCGGCCTATCACAACCCTCCACGTGTATTATGTACAAATTAGAAGAATCGCAATCAAAATTCCGGTAATGTTATTATAGCCCACTTGTTGAAATCCCGATTATTAATAAATATATTGTTCCCAGAAGCTCCAAGAACTCCCAACTTTCTTTTTCCTCTCTGAAAAAAAAAAGGTATGCCCTTTATGGTTCCTTTAATTTAACTATCTTCTCTCTGCGTGTTTAATTTTGGTTTGATCTTTTAATGAATTTATGTTGTGGGTAATTCCCGTTTTTGTTTTCTGGCTTTTGAATTGATTGATAATAATTTGGCGAGTAATTGGATGAATTTAAGTTATATATATATATATATATGTAGTCTTTGGTATTTAGTTCTGCAAGTTCTATCGAAACGAAAAAATGATGATAATGCTATTTTGGGGTTTCATTTCAGTTTGGGAATTGGAAAGTACTGAAATAAATTGATAATAAGATGCCAATTTTCAATATTGAGGTGTTCCGTGGATTATGTTAGACAGTTTTATGTTTGCAAATTCTAAGATTTGTCATGCTTTCTGGAAAAGAATAGTTTTTGCCACTCTGAATTTGATATAATCGGTCTTGCTAAGTTAGAAAGAAAGAAAGAAAGAAAATGGTATTAGGTCTAATTACTGAAGATGACTAATGAGCAAATAAGTAAATAAATAAATCGCCTGTGGGCTTGTTCAATTATCCTTTTTATCTCCATTTATTATGAGAGTTAGCGTTTGTGTGTGTGTGTGTTTGTTTTTTTTTTTAATAAGAAACAGGAGACTTCATTGATCAAATAAAATATACAGAAGTTTCAAGATGGATGAGAAATCCATCAAAAAGGAAACAAAGAGGACAAAGCAGAAAACAACGAACGAAAAACTAAACCGAGAATCCAAAACAAGGACAAAAACAACCAGAAAACTAGAAAATAGATTCTAAGGCCCCATTTTATTCAAGATGTCATCCCAACTTAACAAGATCAGCGAAAGCGGAAAATTTTTAAAGGAATAATCTGTTGATGGCCACGAAGATGGAAGGAATTTTGCTTTTCTGAATAAATCTTTGAAAGGCATCTCTTTCTCCTCGAAAACTCTCTGATTTCTCTCAAGCCAGAGAACCCAAGTAATAGCTAAAACTCTCTTGACATCTCATACCGTTTAATCTTTATAGATTTTGTGAGTTGGTTTGATGTGTTTGTCAGTTACTTTATATGCAAAAAGGTTAACTGAGTTTGGTGAGTGCCCCAATTTTTTCGTAACAGTTATTGGTCAACATGGGCCTTAGTCATTAATTGAGGTTTTTTATGCTCTTGATCAAATGAGGGGCTATGCCTGATGATATTTCTTTTCGTGGGAAAAAAATGAAGTTTTCTGCAACCAGGCTATGCCTATGACCATGTGAACACTACCTTGTAGTCATATTCTAATTGTATTATCGGGTGTTTAGTGTTTGAAACTTCATTGTGATTTGATTAGTTTAAGCATGTTTTCAATGTATCTTTTGTTGTTTTTCTTGTCAGATATTGTGGCAAAGATTATATCTATAGTTAAAATGGCACAAGATACTTCTGCTGCTGCTGTTTCACCTCGACGACGTTCTGGTCTCTTACGTGATCAGCTCCAACTCGTTAAGAAGAAGGATACTGATCGTTACGAGATTGTGCCAATTCAAGATACATTATCGTTCGAGAAAGGTTTCTTCATAGTAATTCGAGCAATGCAGTTGTTGGCTCAAAAGAATGATGGGTTCACATTAGTCGGAGTAGCAGGTCCTTCTGGAGCTGGGAAGACTGTTTTCACTGAGAAGGTGCTCAGCTTTATGCCTAGCATTGCTGTCATTACAATGGACAACTACAACGACGCTAGCCGTATCATTGATGGCAACTTCGATGGTAAAATCTCATCTTTTTGTATTGCATATTGCATAACGACAATTAAAAGATTCACCTCTAACTTTTGAAATTGCCTTCTGATTAGTAGTACGGTGATAGTTATTTATATTTGATATCAGTGCTTTATTAGCCATCGGAATCTTTATTCCTTTGTTGTCACTTAATAGTAATCACACATTACATCTATGTTGTATTGTTTAGTACACAAGTTACTTCCTTTGCCCTTAGGTGACACAACTACGGAGACCCTTTGAGACTGACCTAATAATGACAACTAGTATGCTGCTTTACTTGGGTGATTTTCTATTTGTATAGCATCTGAGGCCAGGTTCAATTGTCAGTTGTCGTCAATATATGCAGACCAAAGGTTGTAGGGCTTTTTGCTATGCTCAGTTCGATAATTTTCAGTTAAGTTTCTGGAAATTTGAGGTTTTACGTTTCATGTGTGTTTTGCTCAGTGCAAGTGTGACCGTACTTTCTTCTGCCAGTATTGCTACTTGTTGGTCGAAGTTGTCTCGGAAATATATTTTACCTTGGTGACCTGTGCTAATTCTCCTGAAATTTGTTATCTATTTCTTGGTGCTATTACTGATTACTTATTAGAAAGCTAATTATCTCAATGTTTTTGAATAGATCCACGCCTTACAGATTATGCCACATTGCTTGAAAACATACATGGTTTAAGAGCAGGGAAACCTGTTCAGATCCCGATATATGATTTCAAGACTAGCTCTCGCGTAGGGTACAGGTAGTGCATCTCTCTTGCTTGTTCTATGCAAGATGTGGAAATTGATATTATTGAGGGACGAAAAAAAGAATATGGAAGTTAAAATGACTGTAAAATTAACTTTCTATACTTCATGGATATGAATGAGGAGGGTCACAAGTTTTGTATTCTGCTATCTTATTTGTGCACAAAGTTTATTCAAATTCATCTCAAATTTTCAGATGGTTTTGAAGATATTCTTTGCTTTATGTATGCAAGTCTTTTAGTCATTTGCAAGTCTCTCAGTCTATTCTAAACTATTGGTGAATCCCATTATTTTATCAGGACAATTGAAGTCCCTAGTTCACGTATTGTGATAGTGGAGGGTATATATGCCTTAAGTGAAAAATTGCGGCCTTACCTAGATCTTCGCGTATCTATCACTGGTGGAGTTCACTTCGACCTTGTCAAACGTGTTTTACGAGACATCCAACGTGCGGGCCAAGAGCCTGAAGAAATCATTCATCAAATATCTGAAACGGTTGTCCCTTTAATCCTGTGTTCTATGATTTTCAGAAGAACCGTGTATTACATATGTAACAATATACTAAGGAAAAACAAAGGATTTATCGTACTTCGTATCAATATTTGATGCAGGTATATCCTATGTACAAGGCATTTATTGAGCCAGATCTCCAGACAGCACATATAAAGATCAGTAACAAATTCAATCCCTTCACTGGTTTTCAGAATCCCACTTATATTTTAAAGGTAAAACTTTTTCCTTGTCCAAGTCTTCTGTTCTCGTCTTTTTTTTTTTTAATTAATTAATAGATTGCATGTACCTATTTTCATATTTTAAAATTCCATTACAATGGATTCTTCTAACTGTATTCCTCTGGTTGCAGTCAACTAAGGTTTTGACAGATGATCAAATAAAAGCCGTTCTTTCTGAAGATCACAAAGAAACTACAGAGGAAACTTATGATATTTATCTTCTTCCCCCAGGCGAAGATCCCGAAGCATGTCAGTCCTATCTACGGATGAGGAACAGAGATGGCAAATACAATCTCATGTTTGAGGTGGATCATTGTAGAACAAAATCATCTTTAAACTAGGATCTCGAGTTAACATCGACCAATGCTTCAAAATTATTGTCGTCTATTTAATATACAAGTTTTTAGGTCCATATTCTTTCTTGTGATGTGGAAACTCTGTTTTCTCTACTGTTGGAAATATAATTACCGTAATAGCATTGTATTGGGACTATTGCTGACAGTAGAATTTTGTTGGTTTCATTTTGAGTTCCTACTTTTCTTGCTCTGACTATATTTTAAACTGAAAGCTACACGTAACACTAGTTTTGTCTTATTTCCAGTACTTGATTTATAGTTTGTGTAGAATAATCAAGTAGGAATTCATCAATGTCAAGTATGCTTACGAATTGTAGGCTTATTGTTCCATGAAGTGGGCTTCACATTTCAGGCTTCTTTCTTGAATTTGTTTATTGTATTATTAGTTCAAGATTTTTTGTAATTGATTTTTTAGTTCAAGTTTTATAAGATAACCTCTGTGGAGATATTCGGACCCTAAGGATTTCTAACCTTTTCTACCTCTCTCAACAGGAATGGGTTACAGATAGTCCTTTCATAATATCACCTCGAATAACTTTTGAAGTTAGTGTTCGCCTTCTCGGAGGGCTTATGGCTTTGGGGTATACGATTGCTAGCATCCTAAAAAGAAGAAGCCACGTATTCTCTGATGATAGGGTTTGTGTGAAAACTGATTGGTTGGAGCAACTTAATCGTCAGTATGTCCAGGTATTGTGCTAAGCATTTTTATTTTTTCTTAGTGCCTTCCCATTCTTCTTATATTAGAATTTACTTTATTTTATCAGTTCTTGTTTCTTGTTATCGTTTGCTCTTATTCTTACAAGAGAAATGACTTACCTTGAATTTTGTCTAATAATGGAGTTATTTCGTATTTTCATGAGTATTGAAAGAATGTCTGGAATCCTCAAGCATGACACATGGAAGAAACATGTTTGCCAACATTGAAGTTGGTAAAACTGATCAAGCAAGTTTTTGTTTTACTTTTATGAGTATCTAAAAATGTTTGCTTTATGATTCTTAGGAACAGGGGCTTAAATCAAAGCAACTCACTAGGTTTAGAAATCACAATTAATTGACTATCTGCAGCAGCAAAAATTTTTAGATGAGTTATAGTTTTGTACTTTGTTTCCTACAATTGCTAAAATTATCACGTTAGGGGATCCAGTCATTCCTTTGTTGCAGAATTGTACTGCAGGATATAGTTGAATATTATGAAGCGTAGCTTCTAACTAGCTGAACTGGTTATGAAGGTGCAAGGAAAGGATCGCTTATATGTTAAATTCGTTGCGGAGCAGCTGGGCTTGGATGGATCATATGTGCCTCGAACTTATATTGAACAGATTCAGCTGGAGAAACTTGTAAATGATGTTATGGTATGATTCTTGCCGCCAACAACACACTTTACTGCTTCTGCAGTGGTTCTGATCTGTTTCCTCTACAGGCACTTCCAGATGATTTGAAGTCAAAGCTCAGCATAGATGATGATTTGGTTTCAAGCCCTAAAGAAGCTCTCTCGCGAGCATCAGCAGATAGAAGAATGAAGTATCTCAACCGGTATTCATTATTTTTGTCTATGTTTGTCCGGTATTCATTATTTTTGTCTATGTTTGTCCGGTATTCATTATTTTTGTCTATGTTTGTGGTCTACAACAAGAGGAAATTGAGATGGGAAATGGGGAGAAAGGAACAATGGTGTAAATTGAATAAAGTGAAAGGAACAAAAGAAAAACGGTAAATTTTGATAAACCAAAAGAAAAAGGGGTTAAGCTATTTTATGCAGACCGGTATTCATTATTTTTGTCTATGTTTGTGGTCTACAACAAGAGGAAATTGAGATGGGAAATGGGGAGAAAGGAACAATGGTGTAAATTGAATAAAGTGAAAGGAACAAAAGAAAAACGGTAAATTTTGATAAACCAAAAGAAAAAGGGGTTAAGCTATTTTATGCAGTAAACTATCTCATCTATTTGTTATGATTTTTGACCCACTTAGGTGCAAGAATTTAAAATTGTCATGGCTTTGTTTGAAGAGAAAAGAACATGGTTAACTCTCATTCACTCATGTTTGTTTTAAATAATTGAATAGTGAGGAAAAATCTAAAAACAAAGAAAAAGCAACCAACATTTCTTGTGAGTATAACTGCAGGTAGGAACCATCAGGATTATCTGTATCTGATTCCCTTGACAGTGCTTTTAGACTGAACCCCTTACCAAAATCTTGAAAATTTATGGTTTGAGCACATGGAGTTCTTAAAAATCGAGAGATGTTAGCTGCTTAACTTTAGTAATTTACGAAATGTCTTGGAAACATAGGGTGGTTAACTCAATGTTGCAGGGGTGGATCACAATCATTTTCAACCCAGAGGGACAAGACTATGGCCAAACTGACAAGGCTTGCTGTTAACAATAGAAGGTTTGATGGGAGGGCCCCGGAATCACCTGCAACGCTTTCGAATCAGGTGAGTCTTTGCTGCTTTTAACTATTCAGAGTGGCTGCTACATCTGTTTGTTGGTTGGAGGCTGAAAGGTAGAACAATTATATCATTCGTATTTTTCTTTGTCTAGGTAAGAAAATAGGGAATTGTTCAATGGACTTTAAATACTCGGAGAATCTGCTTTCTTCTTCTTTTGTGGGGAAATTTATTTCAGCAGAATTAAATGTTTGGTTGGCTTTTTTGTTTTTTTTTTGTTTTTTGTTTTTCCTTGTATGATAATGGGATTTAAGCACACGCCGTATAGAATATTTTTTTTTTTTTTTTTTTTTTTTTCAGGGAATTATTACACAACTCTCAGAACAAATTTCCACACTAAATGAGAGAATGGATGAATTTACATCTCGCATTGAAGAACTTAATTCCAAATTCTCTGCCAGGAAAGTCTCGGCCAGCCAACAAAACCTGGCACTGCAGGCCGAAGCATGCAATGGGTCTGGACCGACATCTCATTTCGTCAGTGGCTTAAGTAATGGTTCCTTGACTGGAACTCTTCTGCCCAATTCTTCGTCGTCTTCTCAGTTGGCTAAGGAGTCTCCACTGATGGAAGAGGTGATACAACCATAATGTCCCTGCTTTTATGTATAGAGACCCTTTTTTTTTTTTCCCTCTTCCTTTTAGTCTTCTATCCAATATAAAACTAGAGAGTTAGAACTTAGAATCCTGGGAGGTTAATTATCTTGTAACTTCTGAAGATGGGTATAAGACTGTTGAAAACCTTAAGAGTTTGCTAATAGCCGGTTTGATTCATAAGTTTGAACATAAGGTGTGAACAGAAACTTAAAATTTTACAAGAAACAATACTGTAGCAAAAAGGTTTTTAAATTGTGCTTCCAAATGCAAACCAAACAACACATAAAAAAAGTTGATTGTCCATCTAGAAAAATCGTTTGAAAGAATAATGTAAGTTGTCAATAGTTGACACTACAGTTAACCAACTTTCTAGGCTGAAGATTTGAGTCATTATAAGAAGGCAGCTACTGAGAGTGATGTTTGATAAAATCGGCCGAAGTTACCATATCCAAGTTTGAATAAAGCATGACATTATAGCGTAACTACCATTTCCTTCTACAAATGTTTTCGCTGTGTATGCGAACTATTGTTTTTGAGATTCTAGTTCGGTTCTAGGCAATGATCATGTTCTCTTAAGTTTTTATCTTCACAACTGATGATTTATTTGTGTCTTTGTCAAATTTTTAACAGTTACTAGCTATTTCGCGAGGGCAGCGTCAGGTCATGCACCAAATAGACAATCTGAGCAATCTTCTGCGCGAGTTTTCGGGAGACAGATTCCGCCATGGAAGAACAGAGGGGACTAGCAGAACCATTGATGTTGATTCAATAACTGGTCCCCTTTTACTAACCTTAGCACTTGGTGGTTTAGGTGTCTTCTTGTTCAGAAGTCTAGCTTGGTAGAAATAAACTTCAGTGGCTAGCAGCTCATTTTCAGCTTTCTTCCAATGATAAAAGGGCCATCAATTGTCTGGTGAAGTCTGGATCCGCAGTGGGAAGTAGATAACCAATAATGTTTTCTTGATATACGACCTGGGATATGTACTGTAAATAACCTGTATAAATAGGTGCCAAAGAGGACTTATTTTCGACAAATGTTGTCATGCATGCGTTTTTATTTATTGGCTTAATTTATGCTCTAGTTCAAAAAGTCCCAAGTTCATATTCCATCAAATTTTCATGCTTGGGATTTATGCAACTGGTATTATTACCAGTGGACCTGCAGCCTAAAGCCTGAGCGTCTCGGTTAAAGCTGCAAGAAGATATTTGCATTTTGTCAAGGGCTTCTTCAGTGAGGCTGGCTGCGAGTTCGTCAATGCTCGAATTCTCTCTCAACTTTGTCACTTCTCACTTCCTTTGCGACTTTTTCTTGTGTGCTCGGGCGCTTGCAGAGCCACGCAAAAGAACCAGGATAGGGTGGTCAATGTGCTGCCTTTTCCAACAATTATAAAACTCAGAAATCATGTCCTTTTATGTACTCGACATCTTTCTGTCCCAATTCTTCAAATCTAGACAAAATGTCTTCTTTCTTCACCTATCATTTATATATCATTGTTACCATCAGCAATCATAAATAGAGACGTTTCCATCACAATTTTGAGCATAAAGCTTTTACAAACAGAAAAATAAGCACTTTTCTTAGCTGTACACATTTCTGTATCACCTTATTAGGAAACCACTACATCATGTTTAGTGTTTCAACTAATTACTATATTGCCGTGTAAAATCATATATATGCGTTAGATCAAACAAATGCATCTCCATTCTAAGAGTCAACTAACTCACAGGCAAATCATGATCTTGTGAGCTGTGAATTTCTTCGTCCCTTGAGGACGAACTAAAGGCGCTTGCTTGCGCCTTTTATATATTCTTGTAAATATTTTGTGAATATAGATTGTGTTAACTTTATTTTGGGTTTCTGTTGGTACTTAGTGCACTGAGTTATTAGTATTATCATAGTTCGCTACTTTTGATCCTTAACTTAAAATTTACAAACAAAATTAAAAAAGAAGAAAAAAAAAATCAAGATTTAAAAAAAGAACTTTTCCAACACGTACATAACAATCTCTCTCTTTAAATTTTAAACTGTTACAAAACACTAGCTCATTCATTTCATTGATTTAAGTTTTCAGTTTTAAGTTTCTACAGTTAAAAACTCTCAGAAAATGTAACATCTAACTTTTTCTGTTACAGTTAAAAATTCTCAGAAATATCACATCTCAACTCGAATTGAAAACTCGAATCGTAAAATAAACTAGGCCTAACTCTCTTTTTTTTATTTTTATTTTTTTATAAAATTTAAACTGTTGCAGAACACTAACATAACAATCTTCATTGAAATGACGCTGTCTCCTGAAAAATTCAGGAACTGATTATGCTAAAAACCCTCTACTTTTTTTTTTCTTTGTTCAGAACCTATTCACAAAATTGTTTTCCTCTGATATGGTGGTCCATTGGATTAAGCAAGAAATGAAAACAATTTCTAGAAGTTTCAGAACAAAATGGCAAGAAGCAGTCACCACAGTTTGGACATAAAAGCATCAATTTATAAGATTATTCTCGATCAACTGGAATCCAAGTTATGATGTCCTCCAATCTTGATTAGATGTTCCACAAACAATTCATACCTAAAACGGAGTTAATGGGGAAGTAAAACTCAAAATTATATGTAAACAGCGCATACCAACTCTATAACCATAATGTTTTCTTCCTTTTCGGCTCTTGTCAACACCAAGATGCAAATCCACTGCACCTCAAATGAGAGGTCTAGAGTTTCCATACAAAAATAACGAGGCATCCAATATAAGAGCCATTTTCGTTTGCACCTCTTTTCTAAGTTAAAAAAAAAGGTACAGAAATTGGAAAGAAAACATAATGATACAAAACCTAAGACGGTAAATAGAAACGAACTACATCGAACAGAAAATAAGAGAAAAAAGATGGGTAATCGATTTGGTTCTCTCAGAAAAGAGTTGCCGCAAGTTCAAACACCTCTGTCGCAACCTGGCTATACTCGGACTTTAGCTTCTCCTGTTCCTCTGCGGGCATATCTCCCTTGGCGGGCTTGGTCATAACCAGAACACAGCATGTTGGCCTCTTTGTGGCCCCTGCATTTGCAAGATCCTGAGGAAACACCATCGACGGATTAGACTACGATGACTTCACAAGGCTAACACTACTATCTATCTGAGAAAAACTTCATGGTACTAAAATTATAGGCAACTTCGGTCCTCCACGAAGAGCTGGTCCGACTTGTAACATGTAAAAGAAAAGGGTGGTAATGTTGATTATTATTCACTGTAACATTAAAGAATTTACCAATCGCATAAGTGTTATATCATTCAAAGTCATTTTTACACGGAGTAGATACTAAATACCATGGTATACACTATATTACGGTGTGGGATTGTTCTTTTATGAAGTAACGAAGATGAACTCTAAATTATAAAGTAATATGAAACAGAAAACCCCTTCAAAAGAGAAAGCAGAAAGTAATACTCAAAAGGCAGAGAAAAGGAAGAAATATGGCTAAATTTTTCATGAACTTACTTCTTTGGAGGTAATATATACGTAAGGAACGTCATTCTCTTCGCACAAAACTGGAACATGAGTGATCACATCAATAGGAGAAATGTTCCCAGCTATAACACACAATCTACAAAAAGAAAAAAAAAAGAACAAACAAAACCATCAAAAACTTCAACAAAGATAATAAATCTTACATTGATCCACTCTAAAAGCAATTTCAGAGTTGAAAAAAAGAAGAAAAAAAATAAAACAACGTTTTTTCAATCGAAACGAAAACCCACAGAAAGATTACAGAAATTTGAACAGAAAACTAACCCTTTGTCACCACGTTTTATGCCCTTTACCACCTCCTTCACTCCTCTCTTCAAGCATTTGTGCTCAGCAGCTATAACAACAACAAAAAAGAAAAAAAACCATTATCACTACAATAAATTACAAAATTATCATCAAAATTCCACATTCACACAACAAACAATACTGAAATTCGACTTTAGCCAATCGATTTTCCCTCATTTTCTTGGAAAGCAAACAGCTTTAATCATACCTTTGCGGACAAGCTTGAGGGTTCGCTTGGAGAGCTTCTTTCCGGCGAGAGGTTTGGCAATGGGAGCGAGAGCTTGAATCTTCTTCCTCTCCTTCTGGTGCGACTTTTCGGCTTCGCTATCGCTTCCCATCGTCTTCTTCTTCTTCTTCTTCTTCTTCTTCTTCTTCTTCTTCTGAAACTGGTTCTCCAATGGCCGAGAGAGAGAAAATCTGTTATCAGGGTTTCTCTTAACACTACTACTAGGGTTTAAGAGTTGGCCTCACACGTGCTAAATTATTTACACGTGTGAGAGCCGAATGGGCCAGCCTGGCCCAAACAAATTGTATTTGGGCCAAGCTGAGAATGGAGGCCCATAAAATATGGATCGGGGGATCTTAATCCGCTAGTAATTTATAAAGAGAATTGTAGGGTTAACGGAGAGACTCATCGTCATCTTCGTTCGTTGGGTTTTTCTCTCTTTTTCAAAGTTGCAGAGCTTTAGAGAGAGAAAGAGTAGAGAGAGAGAGAAAGAGTTGACAATGCCTACTATCAGCGTGGGAAGGGATCGTCTGTTCGAAGCGCTAGGGAAGACTTACAGTGAGCTAACGCCATTCTCATGGCTTGTTTTGTTTACCTGTTTTTTTTTTTTTTTTTTTTTTTTTTTTTTTTTTTTGCAATTTTGCAGCGCAGGAAGAGTTCGAGGAGTTATGCTTCAGCTTCGGAATTGAACTCGACGATGTGGTAAGAATTTTAGATTAAAATTATGGCTTTTTTGTTTCTTTTTTCTTTTCTTTTGAATTCTTGATAATTATCTTTTTTCTTTTCCAATTATGGATTGGTAATACTTTGTTGGAATTCTAAATTTCATCAGACAACTGAGAAAGCAGTTATTAGAAAAGAAAAGCACATGGACGAAAAAGCCGAGGAAGATGAAGAAGTCATTTATAAAATTGAAGTCCCTGCAAATAGGTAATTTTGATTTATTTTTCCCTCTAATTTCACGCACAAATGTATAAATAGTTTCGGTTATTTATTTATTTATTTTTTACTCTAGTTATATAATGGTGTGATTTGGCAGCTTGATTAAGTTACTAGTGTGTGTTCATGTGTACATAAGTTGATACATGTTATACATTTTTTCCATGAGTTTGATTTGTTTAATTGGGTAAATTTCGATTTTCAATATTAGGTTAGTTTAAATTGGGTTCTAGTAAATTATTAATTATCAAAAATTAGTTATTCTATCTGTATTTTTCTTTCATTTGACTCCATCCGATGCGTTAGTTGGAATTTCAATTGATAGAATCAACTTTGGTTTATTCTAATGGTTTGGCTCCAATTTTTGCGAAGCTGAGAATCGGATATGAAAGTGATTTTCGAAGATTCAAAAAAAGGTGGCTGTAATGAATATTTTATTTGATGTGTGCACAGATATGATTTGCTTTGCCTTGAAGGGCTTGCTCAGTCCCTCCGCATTTTCTATAAACAAGACAAGATACCTTCATATACACTGGCTAAAATCAGTTCGGACTCTATGATTAAAATGCATGTAAAACCTGAGGTATGTCTTAGAGATAAACAAACCGTTAATTGTAAGGTATTGATGTTCCAAAATGGTTCTATTCATTTCGTGGAACATGATCTCCATTTTCCTGTTGCAGACGTCCTTGATTCGGCCATATATTGTTTGTGCTGTGTTAAGAGGCGTAACTTTCGATGAAGCAAGATACAACAGCTTTATTGATCTCCAAGATAAGCTTCATCAAAATATCTGCAGGTGATGCATTTTGAGTTGCTTCTCTGCTCGAAAGTTTGAGCGTTTTGTTAGTTTCCAGCAATTTTCTTCTTTTCAGCACTATGGAGCGCGTGAAATATGAAATTTGGTAATGCATAAGAAGAATTGTGCGGTTTTAAAAGATGCTTGATTTGGTTGTTAAGATGTCCCAAAATTTGGATCAAGGGAAATTATCTCAAAGCAATTGAAAGAAGTGGTCAAAAAACTAATTACATGGCATGCTATAGAAATTGAACTTAAAGTGCTAAAGTTGGTAGGATACGCTATCATTTTTTTCTTTATCATATGGTCAAACAGTTTATGGATCTTTTTGTCCTAGTGTTTTCCTTTTATTTTGAATTTTTTTCTGTAACCTTAATGATGAGAATTGAGAAGTGGAGGAATCTAAGAAGAATTGTTAAGTCAGTGACATCATTTGTTCTTGGAATTATGATAAGTCGGTAAGATAACTTGATTGTCCTTTTTGTATAGAGATGTGACCTTGGAGATTCAGTTTGCTTGTTTTTGCTTTAAAATGTCACCAATACTACAATCATGGGACATGGATTATACAAATGCCTTTGGGCTTGTCTTGAGGTGCTCTATGGGTGTAGGTGGTAGGAGATCACCCAAATTTTCATTGCTCATGATACTTGTTATTATGTCTCGCTAATAGCCTAATGCACATTTGGCCTTTTCGCTTTATTTTTATGTTTTCTTGGTAGTTGACTTGGTTTTAAATACTTAATTTGACTTGGTTGAAGTGCATGAATCCACCTTTTCTGACAGGCGAAGAACCCTAGTTGCAATTGGAACTCATGACTTGGACACGTTGCAAGCCCCATTCACATATGAGGTGAGCTCTTCTAATGCCTCTATGTGTGTATTTGTTTTTGTTTTTGTTTTGTTTTTTTGATAATTTGTGTGTGTATTTGTTAACAGAGAGAGATTTTATGAACAAAAAGTGTCAAGTGAGTTCTAACATCATTTCTCCTTCAATGTATGTTATTTTATGTCTATGTCCTATTTCATACCTTGGTCATGGATCGTATTGGACTAGGAGAGTGATGAAGGACTAGAATAGGTTTAATTGACTTTAATAATTAAATTTTTATGATGTTTTAATATTTGATTTTGAATTTAAAGGTATGTTTACCTATTAGGTTTGCTTGAGATTATGTTTATCTCTTAGGATTATCTAGAATATTAGGCATTGGATTTGCTTTTGAATCAGGGTTGTTTTAGGCTTTGGCTTAGGACACTTTTATGATAAGTTTATTTTTAGAGAGGGTTTATGATTGTTGAATGAATATTCGATTATTTATTGAAAGTTCTGGTTTCCTTTCTCTTGAGTTCTTATTCTTCTTTTAAATCCTCTATTTCCTCTCTTCTACTTCGGTTTTCTTTCTCTTTTTTATTCCATCTTTTCTATCTAGATTCTCTCTCTCTCTCTCTCCCCCTATTTCCTCTCTTCTACTTCGGTTTTCTTTCTCTTTTTTATTCCATCTTCTCTCTCTCTCTCTCTCTCTCTCCTACATTAGAGAGATTGTAGTCAAGTCATATTGATGTTTTGGATTCTGTGCTACCACGAGATTCACTGGAGCCATTGCCGCAGACTCCTTTTTTAGTTTTATGTCTTGTTCTTGAACCTTCTATCATAAGGTGACTTGGGGAGCAAACATGAAACGTTTTGTTGTCTGCTCATCTCTGTTTGCTGGGATTCTTTTGGGTTTGTCTGCATGCATGTGGTTAATAGTAAGCTTCCCTGACAAATTATAGAAGAATTAATAAACATGGTTTAGCTCTTCCCAAATGTATGTTGCCTTCTTATATTACACACACACACGCACTCACTCACTGACAAATGAACACATTAAAACATTTCTCAAACTTTTAGATGCAATCCTTTTTTTTTTTTAAAAATAATTTAATTTGAGTCATACAAGTGAGTTGGCAGCTTATATTTATCTTTTTCGGTTCAGGCCTTGCCACCTTCAAGCATAGAGTTTGTCCCATTGAAACAGGTAAGTGTGTGGAATTTAATTCTTTTAATAGTTGTAATTGAATAAATAGATATGTTATCCTGTTAACATGAGTTCCTTTATTTGGTATAATTCAAATCTTTTGGTCTACATTTACTGCTTGTAAAATTCTACAGCTTCAAATAAGCAAATCTCTGTTATTTAGTGGCATATTTGACACCATAGCATTTTTCAAATGTTTTTTTTCCCTATATTTGTAAGGGAAATTTATGAAATTTCTCGTGTTTTTTTTTTCCTACATAGAAATTTTCTTTGTTTTTTGGGACCTCCTTTTTTGACTGTACATCAAATGGTTTATCTTCTGTTTTCTTATGGACCCTTGCAATTCTCTCTGTCTCTGTATATATGTCCCCCTTTCACTCCCTCCCTCTGTGAATCAATCAACAATTATTTTTATCACTTTTGCCCTGCATACAGTTTGTCCCATTGTCTCTGTCTTTGTATATATGTCCCCCTTTCACTCCCTCCCTCTGTGAATCAATCAACAATTATTTTTATCACTTTTGCCCTGCATCTGCTTTTGCTAGCTGTTGAGTAATTTGATTGATTGAACTTTTGTATACATTCATTGAAGTAATTTCTTGTTTGATTGATTGAACTTTCGTATACATTCATTGAAGTAATTTCTCGTTTGACATGTTGCAACTTAGGAGAGGAGCTTCAGAGTTGATGAGCTGATGGAGTTTTACAAAGTGAGTCCCAAACTAATACTGAAATTATGATGTACTTATTTGAGTGGTCATGCGTTTTCGTTGTTCTTTAGGCTAATTAGTGATATTAATTGGATTTCTCTCCAGCATATTTATGATGCATGTATATCCAATCATATCTTTGTGCAGTTCTATCTTATATAGCTATAGCTAGTTCCTCAGATCCTTGAAGAAAAACTAGAAAATCAATCTTATTTTGTTCTGATCCATGTTTTTCCACTATATTTGACAGTCAGATTTGAAGTTGAAGAAATTCTTGCACATTATAGAGGACTCATCAGTGTACCCTGTTATCTATGATAGCAATAGGTAAGATGATATTGAACCTACTCTATTTATTAGATTAGGTTCATTACTATTTATCCGATTATAAATTTCCTTTTTACCATGCATACATCAACTATAGTTATGGATTTCTGGTATTTAAGATGTTGAGTTCACATCATGTTGAATGATTTCACTGGTAATGTATACTTTTCTACTTATTTTCACTAAAAGTTATGTCTCTAGCGTCTGTAATTAACCTTTTAATTTGAAAATATTGGTTAGTGACAGTGTTTTAATTTTGGCAGAACTGTTTTGTCTTTGCCCCCAATTATCAATGGTGCCCACTCAGCAATCACTCTAAAGACAAAGAACGTTTTCATTGAATGTACAGCCACAGATTTGACAAAGGCCAAGATTGTTTTAAACACAATAGTATGGAAGAAAAAAAAGAGATGCATTTGTTTGGATGTTTTCTGGTTGTTGTTTTATTCATGCATGACAATAAATTCCTTTATTCTCTCAGGTAACCACATTTTCAGGTTATTGTGAAAAAAAGTTTGAGATTGAACCAGTCGAAGTTATATATTCTGATGGAAAGTCGTTTACATATCCTGATTTGTCTGTCTACAATATGAAAGTTCCTTTATCATATATTAATGGTGCCATTGGAGTCAACTTGGAAGCAGAAGAGGTATGCAGTTTTCTTCTTGTATTGTTATTTTTATTATTATTTCATTTATCTCTTTAATTGTTTCCTTTTAATTTTTTTATAGATAAGTTATCAAAGGCTGAATTGTAAAACCAACTGAATCACACTATTCAGGCAGCGGAGCAGTTTGGTTTCAACTAGATAAGTTATCAAAGGCTGAATTGTAAAACCAACTGAATCACACTATTCTGGCGGCGGAGCAGTTTGGTTTCAACCGTCGGTTTTCATATAAAAACTTTTAAACTATTTTCTTTATAGTTTTAAAGTTCTTTTGTCTAAAAATTGAACAAAATATAAATAAAATAAAGAAAGCCCTATCACTGTCAAAGCTACTTGGACTTAATTTTCAAGACCAAATGGAAGGTCTTCAAATCGTAGGCCCATCCACACATAGGAAAACCTAAGAAGGGTGCAGTGAAAACCGAAGAAAAGAGGTCATATTTACTGTATGTAGGAGACTGAGTTTTGTCAGTGATGTTGGAAATTGGAATCTTGGATGTGTCATGCTTTTAGAATTCACGTTGTGTCATCATACCAAATCAATAACAATTAAAGCCATTAAGTCGCAGAAAAAAAAAGCGACGCAGTGCAATGGAATGTGCACGTCTATGGCGTTATCATTCCAAGGTCTAGGGCTTGAATCTGCTATTCTGAAATTTGTGGGTTTTTCCCCCCTGTCCTAGAGGATTTATTTGCTTTGGTTTTGGCTTTACATATGAAAGGCCAAACGGCCAGCCTATTGACATAGGTGTGCGTCTTCAAAATTGATAATGGTACTTCTATGGCACATCTCAGCGGTTTACAATTGGTCATTTTCTTGATTTTTGATTTTTGGTTGGTTCGGACTACAATATGCCAAATAACTTACCAAAGTTAACTGGCGGATTGGTGGTATTAAGGAAATGTGTTTATAGGAGATTGTATATTATCTTTGCAATTGGTTTGTAATCTCTTTATTTGTAAAAATCTTAACCATAAGCGATTAGGCTATGCTAGGAAAGTGACGCATTTATTGTATGCTCATATTTGTAGATACAGTGGATGTGTTAGTTTTCTAATAGTGTAATCTCCTATGGCCAATGATTTTACTAATAATCTGATTAAAAATGAACTACAAAGATAACATACACCTATATCACATTTCCTGTTCCTGAACAGGTGGCATGTCAACACTTGCCTTGGTTGTTTAAAAACAAAACCATTTTTGAGGTGTTCCATTTTGCAGTTGGATTAAAATCGGACCATATTGATTTTCACTTATTAAATGTGGAAAAGTGGTATGTGCGCATCCATTCCATTGCACTGCTTCATATTTCGTGCGGTTCCATTTTATTTGTTTTTACAAAATTGATGTGTCTAGGAGTCCCACATCGCTTATAAAACTCCTCTTCATATATACAAATTTCCTTCTCTTAATTTTTCATCCCTTATCCCTCGGTTGCTAAAGCTGGTAGGCCTACCATGGTGGGCTTCCATTTAGTTTTATCACTCAAATGAAGAGTATGAAGATGTATGCCCCTCCTTAAACACTCTTAGATTCATGCTCCAAGATTTATGCCCCTCCTTTAACACACTTAGATTCATGCTCCTTCCTTTTCCTTTTAAAATTATATTAAGAGGGGAACAATTTAAAAGAAAGGGGATAAAACCAAAGAAGTGAACTAAGGGGAAAATATTTCCTAAATTGATTCAAGTGTCATTAGCTTCATTATTTTATTTTATTATTTGAATTTCAACGAAGAAAAGAGTTAAAATTTAAAAAAGGAAAGGAAAAAAAAAAGGAAATGGTTCAAAATTTTTACATAGAGACCAAAGGTTAAAATCGAGCTGAACCGATGCTCTAATGGTGCGGTTCGACTTCCGAGTGGTCTTTGTTTTGAAAAATGCAAAGTGAGAGCTTGGTTCTATTGTGATATATATATATATATATAATTTTTTTTTTCTTTTTGAAAAAGCAACACAAGCAGGACCAACTTTTGGTCCTAATTTGATATCCTCGTTGGTGGCAGGATATAGTTTTAGATTACTGATAGTCTTATGGTCATGTTTTTGTCACCTTCTTTCACACACTGCAAATGTTAATGTTATCTGTCCTCTGCCTGCGTTTATGGTTTATGAAGTTGCTGACACTATTATTTACGTTTTTATTTTATGTTTATTTTAATGTAACTAATCTAAGCCAAATAAGTTTTGTTGGACATTCATGTTCTATTTATTTTGAGCATATTCTCTTCCTTCAGGTCACTAGTTTGCTAAATCGGATGCAATTACACGCTGACAAGTCTGTTTTAGGCAACAATGAGTGCAGCATTAATGTAGCTGTGCCTCCAACTAGAAGTGACGTGCTTCATCCATGTGATGTTATGGAGGTATGATATTTAAGAGGTTTTTTAGCATACCGGTTCTTGTTGAAGGTACCGTCTCTTTTGGCTATTCAACCGGGTGTGCTTTAACACATTGTTTCTCAGGATGTTGCAATTGCTTATGGATATAACAAGATACCAGAAGGAAAGATTCTATCTTTGAAGCCGCTTCCCTTGAATGAGCTCAGTGACCTTATCCGGAGGGAGGTAAGGAAAGGCAAAACCCGTAATTGATAAATTTATTTTTACATATCTATGGCCTTTCATATTTTACCTTTTTTGTATTTTTTTCCCTTTCTTTGCTAGGTTTTTGGTCCTTCATTAATTATTCCTTTTTTGTTATATTTTTAGATTGCTATGAATGGATTTACAGAGGTCTTGACCTTTATATTGTGCTCTTGGAGAGAGAATTTCACCATGTTAAATCGTAAAGATGGCAAATCAACAGCAGTGGTTATTGGAAATCCCCGTTCCTCTGATTTTGAGGTTTGCATTCTCCATCACCTTCCTGTGTTTTTTGCCAGTCTTATCGTGCCATGTCATTAAGTTGGTTTTGTTGCCAGAAGATAATCGATTTATTTCATTCCCATTGAGTTTTTTGATTGTTTTTTCCTTGCTTTAGTATCAGTAGAGTCGCAAAAAAAAAAAAAAAAAAAAAGATTTGTTTTGTTCTGTGTCTAAGCCTAAAATTTTGGCATTTTTTATCCCCAGATAAACTGGTGCAAACTTTTGTATTATGACTATCTTTTCCGGTCATTTTCTTCTTGAAATTTCATATGTGATCCCTATTATTTTAGGATATCAGATTTCTTCTCGTTCTTTTTCTTCCCCCTTTAAGTAAAATTTGATACAGCTGTGATTTAAACAGGTTGTGCGAACCAGTTTGATGCCTGGGATATTGAAGACTGTTGGACATAACAAGGATCATCCAAAGCCAATAAAGGTAAACTAATATTTCTTATTATGCATTTGTTTTCAACTTTTTTTTTTTTCTTTTTTTAATAAGCATAAGAATTTATTAAGAATAAAGAAAAATTTCTTACAAAACTAAAACATAAAAGAAAACCTAATAAAAAACCTAAAAAATAAGAAAACAAAACCAAATGTAAACAAAATAAAACAAAAATAAGAAAATCCGAATTCTGAACATCTGCACTTATTCATTTCAGGTTTATTTATTTATTTATTATTATAAAGAAAATTTTCTTACGAAACTAAAACATAAAAGAAAAACCGAACAAAAAAACCTAAAAACAAGAAAACAAAACCAAATGCAAAGAAAATAAAACAAAAATAAGAAAAGCCGAATTCTGAATGTCTGCATTTTCTTATTCATTTCGGGTTTATTTATTTGTTTATTTATTTATTTACTATTATTATTATTATTATTTTTTTTGTGGAAATGCAAATGCTGAACAACAGTGAGCATGAAAGGGGTGGTATCATTACCGAATTCTATTTTACTTTATTTTGAATTGCAAATTGTATGCTCAAATTAATGTTTAGTGATTTTACCTAATAGAGGAGCAGTACGTTGTTTCTTTTTGTCACATTGATATAGACGGGTTTTATGTGTTTATAAATGGGAACATTTTTAAAATAATATTTTTGCTTTCTGTGTTTCTATGATAATATTCTTTCTGCTTTTTAGTTTTTACCAGTGCATGCTTGCATTAAACTTTTTCCCTTTTTAATGCTCATTAGATTTTTGAAGTGGGTGATGTAGCAGTACTGGATGAGACGAAAGATGTTGGTGCAACAAATCGTCGCCAGCTAGCAGCACTATATTGTGGTGCTACCTCTGGATTTGAGGTAAATACAGTGATCTTGGCAACAACTTTGGTCTTTACCATTACCAAAATAGAAGAACAAAACTCTGATTCTTTACATGAGTGGTTGTGTAAATCTGTTTTATAATCTCACATCTCCACGTTTTCTAAACCCTTAAATGTGGAATTTTACGCTTTGTATGTGTATTTTGACTGTTAAAGCGAAGTTTGTTGGATTTATCACCACATTTAATGTTTTCGTCTTTAGCTGATACATGGCCTCGTGGATCGGATTATGGAAGTGATTGGAGCTGAATTTGTTGAGCGTGATGAGCATGATGGGTACTTTATAGAACCTTCAAATGTGAGTAATTTCTCAGTTGCTATTTTTATTTGCTACATTTGGACGTTTTGCGTTAATATACTTATTATGTTCATATCTTCCATTTTCCAAAGGAACCCGAGTATCTCCTGGGCAGACAAGCCAACATCATTTATTATAAGAAACGGATTGGCACTTTCGGCATTGTGCACCCTGAGGTAGGTTTCATTGTATAATTACTTTTTTTTTTTTAAAGGCTTCATCTATAAGTTACCATTGGGTCTATGTCGAACATAAACCAAGAAAGTCCCATCAAATGTCTTGGCGACATTTGCTATAACGCCATTTTCTTCCCCGTTCGCCTCCCAAACTTTCAACAGAAGGAAAGATTTTATTTATTGTATAAAAAGAGTTATACATTACGTTACACAATTTGACTGCAGCCAATTGTTTCCACATATGCACACGATTTCGAGTGAACTACAAGTTCAACTGAAACTTTTGACGCTATTAACTGTTGAATTATGTCTTTTCAGGTATTAAACAACTTTGACATTCCTGATCCATGCTCTTTCGTAGAACTTACAATTGAAAGTTTCTTGGACAAGAATCACTAGTAGACCTGCGACTTGGAACATCAGAGCGAGAGTAGTGTATTTTTGTCCCTGGAAAAGGGTTTTTATACAGCGATTAAACATTTTTATGCCATTCTTCTTAACACTTGGGGTCGAAATTTTATGGTTGATCAGATCTCTAGACTCTGACAGTGTTTTATTTAATTTAGCATTCTACTTTTTGTTTGAGATCCTGGTTAGAGCTTATAAACAAAGCGATTGATCCAGTTTTGTTCTGCTCATACGAGTGCATTATTTCTTTTATCCTCTAGTTCTCAAACTGTAAACAAGCCAAAAAGGCTGACTTATCATCTAAAGTATTTATACCCAACATTTAACCTATTAGTGCCCAAACAACAAAACCAAATGTAAAACACTACACAAAAAGGCTAGACAAAGCCATACTTTTGCGCTTTTGACACCACAAACCAGTGCTTTCTTTGTAGCCTCATTTCATTTCTGCATCTATAGATTTCACTGCGGTGTAAAACACTTGGGGATGCCAATCATTCATGTGACTCCTGTGATACGCCTTCTTTGGATTTGGCCTTGTTGCCACAATATCACAATGCTTCTTCAATGGCTGAGACTCCTTTCGAGCTTCTTCTACTATATTGTGAAACCCTGCGGGACCACCTGATGGAACTCTGGTAATTCTCATGGGATGTTTCCCCCAAACCTTCTTCTTGTCAGTAATTTCTACAACCAAACGATCTGGCACTATGAACGAGATGCCAAATTTCCGCGGCTTGGCTCTTACCGAGCAAAAATCCATCTTTTAAGCGTCTATGGTGGGTTGATCAGTAAACAACCGGCCTCTTCAACTTTACGTCTCTTCTTTTCTAGTTGTGTGAGTGTGAAGTTGGACGTGAGCTTGTTCAATTGGACTGCAAAATGAGAGCTCTATTATCTTTATTTGTGGATGAACTATGACATTTTAAAGACTGACGAAAGAGGAAAATAAAAATAATACTTGAAACTATGGCTTTTGCGGATAAGTACTTGAATACTATGGATTCAAAAAGCAGTTGGTTTCGCTTTACCATTACTGGTTTCATGATATTGCAGCTGCTAGTGGTTTGGTGTGCTTTACCATTTGACTTCAGGAATTATAATTTTTTTATTTTTTGTCTTTTTGTCTAAATTCAGTAGTGCGAGAATTTTATTCTTTCATGGGACTTTTTCCTTTGTTGTTTGTTCTTATTTTTGCTGGAATATATAAGACCCTGGCCAGCTAGCCAGCTAACGGCCCATGTTGTAGTTGACTGGGTGATTATTTATTTACTTTAAGTCCATGGTAACATGGTCTATATTACGCATTAGAGAATTCTTTTCATTACCGAAAAATTATTATTTTAACCGTTAGATTAATTTATAAACATTTAATTTATAAGTATTCACATTAAAAAGTTACATCTCGTGACATATATAGAGCTAGTCCTATTTGTAGATTAGATCTAAAAATTAATTCAACAACGGTTAAAATAATAATACTTACTACCTATCAATCATAAAAGAGGACAGGTCATACTCTAGAAATTCCTACTTTTTCTTTTTTTCCTTTTCTTCTTCTCTTTCGATTTTTTCAGGTAGTGATGGGAGAAATCCATATGAATGTTCTTATTTTCTTTGAGAAAGTTATTATATATATGTATATATTTTTTTTGTTGCTATATATTTTTGAAGAGAACTTAATGTTGTATGTCGCAGAGAGCTACTATATAAAATAAAAAATGACAGAACTTCAATTTCTGCAATATTGTGGTAAGAGATTATTCAGAACTTTTTTTTTTTTTTTTTTTAAAGCCAGCTAACCAAATACCACAAAAAGAAAATTGAAAAAGAAGTGGCTAGAGAGCACATAAAAAAGTTAAAACAAAGAAAAATCATATCTTGATAGTATTGAGATTTTAGTATTACCTGTTCTAGCTTTTCATTTTCCCAGAGTCGAATATAATCTAAAAGGTGAGCTACAGCAAATGACAAGAAGAGAAGTTCTACATACATTTCAAGCAAGAAAAAAAAGAGTACTTATAGAAAATAGAGATAGAAAAAGGCCCAATTAATTGGTCAATAAATAGATCTGGCTTCTTTGACAAGCTAATAACCACCAGGCACCAACTTCTGATGTCATATTAATTAATTCATTTCCATTTAAGCTTTGTATTTTTTTTTGGTCTCCCTAAAAATGGCTTGTAAATCTTTGTTCATTGATTTTGCATAAAATCTAGGTTCAGAAAATTGGATGGCAAGGAAATTTCACAAGATAGAATTTAAGAATTTGAAGAAAATCTAGATTAAAAGTAAGTTTTTTTTAAGGAAAAATTTCATTCCAAATTAACAAATTACGTACTTAATAATAGTCGCAAATGACCACCCTAAACATTGATTGGATCTACCAGTAAAGACGAATGAAGCACATTGGCGAATATAAGTGCCAAGACTTAACGGGAAAAGACCCGCTCGACACAAATAAAATAGAGCGCGGCCAAAGCTCGTTACAACGAACCACTAAAGTCAATTGATACAACCAGTCGACCAAGATCAAGCTCTAAATACTGAGGATACAAGCGACGCGGCCTACAAATAAATCTGGCAGTAAACAAACACACACTATCGATAACGAAATCAGACGAGTGGGACACACAAAGAAAATTGAAGTGTGGAAAAACCACCTCCGTTATCAAAATAACTAAACATGGCGAAAACAATTACACCTTTATTAAAATTAACATTATACTACGAAAACTATGAATGGTCTCAGCTAAACGGGAAGAAACACTAGGGACAAGCCGGTCACCACAATACAAACACCAAAGAACCTAAATATGAGTAGAGTCATTGTAGAAGAATCGTGACCACCGTTGGCGAAAATAAAATTGAAAGCAACCCAGACAAAGCTTCGCACCAGAGATTTGCCAGAAACCTTCCACTTCTGGCACCATCGGAAGCCACCATACCATGACTCCACCTCCAATACTAGTCATCTCAAGACACTTGCCGCCCCTCCTCAGAACCACATCGATGAGGAGGCCGAGACCTTAGAGCAACGGTGGCATCAGACTCCAACTTTTTAGATCTACACCTCCATCGCCCATGGACCACGCCTATCATTGGCCTACCAAACCCACATGACCTTAGCAACCGGGGCCAAGAGTTTGAAGACCAGCCATGGATGGTGCCAAAATCCGGCCCTAAGAAGGGATCCCAAACTCAAAATCCTAACAGCACCACTTAAGAGAAAAGGAGAGGGAAATAAGAACGTGGTTTAGATTAAAAGTAAGTTTATTGTATCCTTTTTACACTGATTTACCAAGATGTGAGATTATAACACCGGATTATGCCATGAATAGGGCACTGAATAGAGGCTTCTCAAATAATTGGTTGTTTAATGCAAAACTTTCAATGAACGACAAGAATGGTTCGAGACGATCGTGGTAATAAAATAAATACTAATAACAAACTTGCAAAGAATAAGTAAAAACAAGAAAAACACGAGAAATAATCAAGAGAACATTATCGTTATTTTCATCACGTTGTTATTGTACATTAAATTACAATCTCATAAAAGGCCATATATACAGACCTATAATCATAAATTAGGACAATACTACTTTAACTAGAATAAAAGACCAATTACAAGGTGTAAATTTGTAGGTTTGTAGAATACCAAAGATCCACGGTACGTTATAGAATTCACAAGGGGTTATTAGAATACCAAATATCCGCACAATAATCAGTTTATTTATGTATAACACTCTCGGTTAAAAATGTGTCTCGTTAAAACCTTTCCAAGTAAAAATTCTGTGGACAAAAATCTTAATAAAAGAAAAATAGTAAATTACTTTTATATACGTCACTCTCGGTTAAAAATGTGTCTCGTTAAAACCTTTCCAAGTAAAAATTCCGTGGACAAAAATCTTAATAAAAGAAAAACAGTAAATTACTTTTATATACGCTACTAAAATTAACTCATTAAAAACCTTATCAAGAAAATCTCGTGAGACAAAATCATAGATCATAGTTCCATTGGAAACAATAAAGAATATTGAACACCTTCTAAATATGTTTAGAAAATAAATAAAAATCATCAACATATGAAGTCAAAAGATTATAGATAATACCCCACATATATGTAACTTAGCAACAATGATATAGAAACTCGCCTTGAAGATTAGGCACAATGAACATATGAAAAAACGACATTAATCTCTTTCTCACGCGGGACAAGAGTTTTACTTTAAAATTTTCAATTTTATGAGTATACTTGAGTATCAATTTCTCATTTACCCATGCATCATTGTGAGTGTATGAGTATATCATTTCGATTGAGAATATGAATCCACCTTGACCCAAGCATAATTAGGGCTTTTATTCTTTTAAAAATGGAAAGCACTGCAGAGGCCTACCTTCGAAAGGGTATATCAATAGTTGTTAAGACTGTTCCGATTCCAAACATTTCTTCAATAATGCCCAAACACGAGAAACGATATATGCTTGTAGAATTGCAGGTCTTGAAGTGTAGAATATTACAAATAAGCCAAATACTGCTGCACCTTATTGTGGATGGAAGAACAATGTGCAAGGTCATGTATGTAGTTTTTCATCTCGCGGGTGGGACCTTCTATATAGCGATCTTGTATATTGGTAATGATGGTCTTTTTGAGGTACTTACTTTCAACCATCTTGAGATGTTTTTGGTCACTCTCCTTTCACTACAATAAATTTCAATAATATAAATAAATATACATATATATATATTCTTTTAGGTGACAGCAACACATGTGGATACGCTCTTTGGAGAGGAAGATTCTGACAATGAAGTTTTGAAATTATTGATAGCTCCAAAAAATCCTAGAAAACGGTTGGAGAGGCAGCTGAACAAGCCAAGATTCTTCTGAAGTATGTAGGCGAAACTTGTAGCAACGAAGTTAAGCTCCTTCTTGTGAGATAGATAACCAATGTTCCCAAAGTGCAGGAGGTGGTATATGATATTTTTGGGAAAGAAGTTGTTGGGAAAATACGGATCCCTTGACAGAATTATCAAAGAATAATTGAGAAATAAAAATAGACACAAGATAATTTGTTGTCAAAGAAAATCAGACAAAAATTCACCATATGAGGAAAATTATAACAACTACACACTCTAGATTTTCCTTTTACCCAAGACCCAATTACATCCGAGAAGAATTTTTCCCACAAAAAATTCTTTCTAACAAGCTCTCTCTTTTCTCACACTATTGAACTTCTGACTTTGGGATGCCTCTTGTTGAAGAACCACATCCCATATTTATAGGCATTTTCACATGGTAATGGATAGCCTTGCTCCAGCTGTGAAGG